ATCATCATCATTCTTAACAACACTCACCAAATTATCCACATCATCATTTTTAATGACACTTACAAAACCATTCACATCATTATTAAATACACTTACCAAATCATTTGCATAATTATTCCTAATAACACTTAAATAACAAATCACCTGTATCATCATCATTCTTAACAACACTCACCAAATTATCCACATCATCATTTTTAATGACACTTACAAAATCATTCACATCATTATTAAATAGACTTACCAAATCATTTGCATAATTATCCACATCATTTTTAATAACACTTACAAAACCATTCACATCATTTATTAAATACACTTACCAAATCATTTGCATAATTATTCCTAATAACACTTAAATAACAAAACACTTGTATCATCATCATTCTTAACAACACTTACCAAATTATCCACATCATCATTTTTAATGACACTTACAAAATCATTTACATCATTAATACACTTACCAAATCATTTGCATAATTATTTCTAATAACACTTAAATAACAAATCACCTGTATCATCATCATTCTTAACAACACTCGCCAAATTATCCACATCATCATTTTTAATGACACTTACAAAAACATTTACATCATTATTAAATACACTTACCAAATCATTTGCATAATTATTCCTAATAACACTTAAATAACAAATCACCTGTATCATCATCATTCTTAACAACACTTACCAAATCATCCACATCATCATTCTTAACAACACTTACCAAATCATCCACATCATCATTCTTAACAACACTTACCAAATCATCTGCATCATCATCATTTTTAATCTCTGGCACTTCAACTTTCTTTTCCTCTCCTTTTAAAAACTAGAAAGAATATTAAGTAATTGATAAACTGATCTGAATTCATAGAAATCTTGATAAGTACATTTTACAGAAGGTTTACAACAATTATAAACCATACTGTTGTGGTTAGAATATTATATACCGCCACAATGCAAAAGACAGAGCAATGTTTAAAAGATTTTACCTACAACAATAAAGTAAACACAACATAGAGTCAGCTCATTACAACATGGATGGACTGAATATATGTACATAGAGTTTATGTACATCTTCTGATCGTCAGAAGACTTATAAGTCATTGTTGAGCTGGGCCCATAAAAAAGTGCATGTCACGTCATGCCACATGACTACACTACACTACACTACACTACACTACACTACACACACAATTCAGTTAAAACTTTGTATTTGCTAATAATTCAAATATGTAAATTTGTCCTTGATGACCCAACTGAATCAGCAAAAGCTGAGTGGTTAGGATGCATAACTATGTTTACCTTCATGGCTTCTTCTTTTGTCACTCTGCTTTCACTAGATTGGCTGGAATCAATCAATGTAATCGACTCTGGAAAAGATAAATCATATCTGTAATTAGTCTACCATGTGGATATTATGAGAACACAACAAAGTGTCTGAGTCCATACTTTGTGGTATTGTTGTACAGTCAAACCTGTCTATAAAGGACAGTCAGTGGACTGAGCCAAACTGTCCTTTATAGACAGGTGGTCTTTATATGGAGGTGGCCTAATTTATTCATTCATTCAATCATGAATATTAATTAGGGCGGGAATTTTAAGGGAGATCATAAGCAAAACATAAAAACAAACCTACACATTGTACAATGAATAGGTCTTTTTTAATAAAAGTCACTCATTTTCATCTGGATAATTACACAGCTTTACTTTTTTACTACAAATTATATCATGTAAATTCACTGAAACCAAGTGATTCTGCCCATGGATTCATTGGTGTATTTAATGCATAAGAACGATTGTCAACGATCGGCCGCATTGGCGTTTCAGCTCAGTCTTTCACACTCTCGCCACGCAGTCTTATTCCCCA